GAGGGCCAGAAGCACCCTCCTCAGATTGCCCTGCTGCTGTGCTTCCAGCATCCAGTTTCTGCTCTCTGAAGCCATAACACTGGGGAAAGTTTGTTACAGCAGCTGTAGGGAACTCATACTCACTTGTACCAAGAGAAAAATCCATCCTAGTCTCCATTGGGTTTTTTTGTTGTTTTTGTTTTTGTTTTTGTTTTTGTTTTTGTTTTGTTTTTTTTTTTTTTGTTCCTGATAGTTTTTGTTGATTTGTTTTGTTTTGCTTTGAACTCACTGTCTAGTTGAGGATGACCTTGTGTGCTTTTTCAAAAAATCACACTCACGAATGTATGTGTGGGTATGAACATGCCACGGCTTGTATGTGGAAGTCTGAGGACAACTTGGAGTCAGTACTCTCCTTGCACTGTCTGTGTCACAGCAACCAATTACCATCAAATGCCTTTCCCTACAGAGCCATCTCACTGACTTGTTGTTTGTTTGTTTGTACCAGCTGAGCCCCTCACACAGGATAGAAAAAGTGACCAAGTCCATTCACTTGGATGATTTTGAGAATTGGTGTTGATGCTGTCCACCCGGTTCTCTCTAGCCTTCTGCCTTCCCATTCCATGCAGCAGCAATTTGACCTTCACCGTTCCTTCTGCCCCACTGATACCAGCTTTCTTTAGACCATGGTCCAGACTCTCTTTTTGCACAGCCTCCTCTTCCCCAGGCTATCCTAACAGCTGACATTAAGCATCAGAAGAAAGCTCCCAGGCAGACACTCTGGTCAAATGCTGGGGCACCTGCTGGGAGAGATGCTACTCTTGCCCTTCCAAGTACTTGCAAAGGTACGAGCTCAGCTTCCTTTGGGTGTGCTTTCTCTTGCTGCTCCATACAGCACAGGCTCAGAGAAGCCAGACCAGGCCTGTGTACTGCCTTTTTCTCACTACTGTATCCTCTGCATTGAGCAGTACTCCTGGGGGAGGGGCATTATTGCCTTGAATCAGAAATACAGGGCAGAAATGAAGGAAGACACAAGACAAAAGGAAAGCCAACAAGGTTTACCCCTGTCACTTGAAACAAAGTGCTTGTGGCACTTTGAAATTGAGAGAAAAGACTATCATAAATTTCTTCAGTGTGAGTGCTCTTGAGGACCTAGCCCTGTGTCTCTGGAACACTCACAAATACTTCTTGTATGGGTTCGGGGGTCACTAAAAGGTGGCCTTCAATATTTGATGGATGGATGGATGGATGGATGGATGGATGGATGGATGGATGGATAGATTTACTGGATTGGATAGATGGTGGATGGGTGGATGAACTGGACTGGACAGGCAGATGGACAAATGCATAGATGGACAGGTGGAGAAGACTGTATTAGATGGATGGATGGGTAGGTAGATAGATAAATGGATGGACAGGATTAGATAAACAGATGAATGTATAGATGGGTGATAATCAGATAAATACATAGATGAGAAACAAATGAATTAGAAATATTACAGTGATGCGTGTTCCCATAATTGTGTATTTTTATATATTTAGTTCAGTCCTTTATCTTGACTTGTTAAGAGCAGAACACATGTAAACAGACCTTCCAACCTTTGAAAACTTATGTATGTTAAGTTGTTTTGTTTTTAAAACATATTCGTATTGTGTAGCCCAGGCTTGCCTTGAACTTGTGATCCTCCTGCCACGGCCTCTGGAGGTTACAGGCATGTACCATACCTAACCACATGCAAGCATTTTCTTTCAATAAAATTACTGAAAGAAATTATTCCATCATCATCAGTTCAAAAAAGAAAAAAGAAAGCTTCCTGCCTCAGCAGTCCCCAGACTTCTAATTCTTACAGCATTTGAACATGAACAATAAAGCTAGTTTCCCTCTTCTTTCCTCCTCCCCAACCCTATATGTGGACACACACTCCCTTGCTATCTCTCCTTCTGGGTTTTTCATGTCGTAAAAGGGAGCCCTTTATGGGACAATCACTATAAACTGAGGTTCTCTTCCTACCACCCAAGGCTGCAGGAGTTTAACCTTCAGAGAGCATTAATGGAGGCTGTTGACATGGAAGCCATCATTCCAGGATGGGAATGCCCCTCCAGGACATCCCATGCACCCAGCCGGAATCAGCTAGTGCACCTGGCATCGTGGCCCAGGCATAAGTGCCACAACACTTCAGAGGCTCCTCTCCCGGCATTGTGGGTATCAGCATCTGCTTCTCACAAGCGAGCGTGTGGCAGAGAACAAGATGCAGAGTGATTAGTAAAAGAGAAGGTGGGGACAAGCGGCCTAATGTGGCAGTTTTCCAGACATTGCATGTAAAACCCGCCTTGGTCTCTGGCTGTCTCCAGTCTGCCCACAGAGTTTTCTTTTTTTTCTTTTTTTAATTCTCAGCTAAGTGTCCTTATTCCTGTCCCCCTTCGAAAAGCTCAGAGCCATGTACTCACACATCTGCAGACAGCAACATCGAGTTTCTACCCAGGACTATGGTGAAAACACAAGACACAAGCCACCTGACCATATCAGGTCACTCATCGGAGAAGTTTGGGGTCAGAAGCCAAGGGCGACAGTGAATTGTGTGTTTCGTGTCATGGTCCCCTAGTCCCAAGGAGACAGAACAGTTTATCTATGTATGAATTTCTAAGGAGCCAGGTGAGAGCTAGGCTGGCAGTATTAGCTCACGAAACGGATACATAGATAAAGTCCAAGGTCACTGGGCTGATTAGCCAGTCATTAGCACATGAAGTATTGTTCTATTGTATTTAAGAGTTTCTATTGAGGAAAAACAGTAAAAGCAGTAACATAATAAAGTAGGTATTTAATATTTGATACTAACTCCATGTTTCATTCAGTCCGAGACAAGTTAGATATTTTAGAGTGTGTGTTAACTTGTTTGAAATTCTCTCCAGTATAGCCCATATTTGACTTCAGGTAAGTTAGACCTGCAGACATGAGTCAGGGGATGGCTCTATGGATAAAGTATTTGCCTGCTAAATGTGAGGTCCTGCGTTCCAATTCCCAACACCCATGTAAATGCTAGGTAGGCATGGCAGCCACCTATAAACCCATCAATTCGGACGCAGGGGATCTACTAGGGTTCATGGAGAGACCATGCCTCAATAAATAAACTGGAAAAAAATCCAAGAAGATGCAGGGTTCCAGCTTCCACACGCATGTACACATACACACATCCCCATCCACCCATACACATATCCAGCATGCAAACCACATGCCACACACATAAGTTTTAAAAACAAACTTACAGGCTTACACAACCTGAGAGGGAAGTAGAAAAAAAAGTGGAACACTGGGCTGCCCTTGGGTTTACGTTGTCTGCCCCCGTGAAATCCCTTTTTACAGTTTGATGCCATCCTCACTCTTTCCAGCTGAGAACCATAGCTGAGCTACCTCAGATGTGCTCAGCTGGGCTGGCAGATGCATGAAGGCTCCCACATTCTGACCGGCTTCAACAGCCTGATTGAGGCAGGCTCCATCTCCAAAGTCCATGCACAGCACTTGCCCCGAATTCCATGACATAAACATTACTGACAAGCTGGGTTCTAGCCATTCAGAAAGGAGACGCTCCCCCAACACACAGTACCTTCTTTGAGGACAAGTTCAAAAGCACGAAGGGAAAGGTGGCTCCCTTCAACACAGCTGCTCACAATGAAGGCATCAGTACAGGAGCAAGGGAACACCATTGTTATTGTAGTCTCGCTCTGTACTTTGCTTAATAAGACCTTGTTATTGTGGAATAAAAACAGAGACGTCTAGTCTTAGCAAACCAAGCAACAAGTATACAGCAAGCCTCCCAACCATGCTGGAGTGGCATTGCGGCCCTGGAGGCAGGTTTTTAACCTAAGGCCTGCCTTTTCACCAACCTCCTCTTTGGTTTCCAGTGTATTCTACACCCCCAAAGCTGTGGCCCCCGGGGTGGGGGTGGGGGCTGCTCCTTCTTAGCAGACCTGAGCTCCTTACAACAGCACTTGAAGAGACAGTGGAGTGCATAAACACCTAATCTCTTCCTAGCCAAAGGGTTCCCACACAAAAGCCCAGCGAGCGATCTGCCTAACTCAACAAGATCCAAAGCAATTAGATTCCCAGAAATCAGAAAAGCCAGAGACCAAAATCAACATATCATTAAAACATTGTGCTTGTCGACTGGCTGGGAAGTTTCAAAGAGAGATGTCGCCTGATAAATATTCACAGAAAAATATGTTTGCAGGATTTTTCCAGCACACTTAAGAGAATCTCGACTTTTGCTGTAGAAAGGGGGGGGGGGAGAAACTACCCCAAACAGAAACCACCTATCAGTCAAGAAGATGTGTAGTGTCCATCTACAATGTCCTGTGGCTACCAATCGCTCTGCAAGGCATCTCTGTCCCAAGCTTCCAATTTTGCTTGTACCCAGCAGGGAGCTGAGGGAGCCGGTAGCAGAGCAGGTAAATGGGGTAGGAGGTGTTCCCTCCCTCCACTCACAGCCCAGGTCAGGACCCCACTGGAACAGCTTGGGTTACACAGACAGTAGAACATCATCGTGTGGAGACAGCTTCCCCACCACAGCAGCTGCAGGAGGCGGACCCAGGAGACCCTGGGCTGAAAGGGACTTGTGTTCTTAAGGGTCCCACGGTACGCTCGCTGACATTCCTGTACAGCAGAGCTGTTCGGGTTTATTTCTAAAGAGATTAAGGCAGTTGGGAAGTCCACTCCAAATTCCAGGAAGCTTCCAGGTTCAGGATAGCATAGGCTTCCCCTTCTCACCTTGTGGATTAGACACACTCTCCTAGGGCATCTTAGCCAGACTTCTAGGGAAATCACCTGCTACCAGGGTGCCTGCCCCAGACCTTGGCCACAAGACTCCTGCCCGCGTGTGCGCGTGCACGCGCGCGCTCGTACACACACACACACACACACACACACACACACACACACACACGCCTCTCCGGGCCGCCCACATCCATACATACACACTCACTCCCAGCAAAGTTAAGTCCCCGGGCCGAGGTGGCCCCAGCGTCCTCACCTTTGGAAAAAAGGGCAGCCAGGCTGATGAGCACGGGAGACCAAAGGTACCACAGCGTCCCCATCTCAGATGGGCACATCCTGGAGACTCGGAGCGCGGGTCCTCTTCTCCTCCGTGGTGTCGTCTCTCTGAAGGAGGAATGTCGCCAGGTCCCCAGAGAACAGAAGCTGAGCTGGATGGCCAAGACGCATCTGGGTAGGGACCCCGAGCAGCAGGGCCGCCCTGTGCCGGGTCCCCACAGGTCCACAGCCAGGCCGCTCGGGCTCCGGGGTCCCGCAGCGCAGGCCGAGCTCACCTCAGTGATTCGACCGCGCTGAGAACTGGCTCGTGAATTGAATTTCACTCCACAAGGGGGGTCTCCGGTGCTGAGTCCCCAAGCGCGGAGAACGCTCTTGGGGCTCCGGCTGGGCGGCCGTGGTGGGCTAGTGAGCGCGGGCAGCTGCGGAGCTGCGAGGCTGCGGGGCCCGGGGCGCGGGCAGAGGCGGCGCGGGGGTCCCCAGGCGGGTGGCCAGGCGCGCGTGGGGACCCGGGAAGCGTAGCCTCGCCGCCCCCATCCCGCGCCACGGGGCTTCCGAGCGCGCGCTCCTCCGCCCAAAGTTTGCGGGGCGCTGCGGCTCCACCCCAGCCCGACCGGGCTCCCCACGCGCGCCCGGCGCACGGCCGGCTCCGGAGACGCGCGGCGCTTGGGGCGGAGGGCGAGCGGCGCGCGGACGAGGAGGCGCGGGCCCGGGGCGGCTGCATCCGAGCGCACCCAGCGCAGCGTGCCCAGGCGGGCTGGGGCTGTTGCTTTCTAATTTCTCTCTTTTTCCCTCTCTCTCTCTCTCTTTTTCTCGCTCTCTTTTTAGGCCCCACCCTTCTGGAGTGACAGCTGTGAGCCCCAATCCGCAAAGTAGGTCCCACCTTCCTGGTTGCGGGGCGCCCAGCCTCCCTGTGCGCGAATGGGAGGTGGATGCTAAGAAGAGGACTTGGATACCAGCCAGCCCCGGAGAGCACGCGTGAGGACCAGCGTGGATGTCTACGCTCACAACAGGTGTCGAAAGGCCCTCTGCCCTACTCTCTCAAAGCCTCGGGCTGCAGGCAGTCCTCAGGCAAGGACAGACAGCTCAGGACCCTTAACATAAACGGAAGTGTTCCCAGTGATCTCTTGAATGTGACCCTGGAATCCCAAAATGACTCCCAGATTCCTGTCCCTGGAAGATTTCCATCCTGGCACCGCTCGAGGGAAGATGTTGCACTGAGAACGTGATAGGCCCTCTGTTCATGCCTTCCGGAGGCTCTAAGGCAAACTCGCACCCAGATACCTAATTCCCATGCTAGAGTTCTGAGCTCAAGACCTCCTCACTGCTAAGGGGAGCCTTGGAAACAAGTCGATTCTATGCGGATTCAGAGAGGAAACCCAGACTCAGTTCACTTCTGAGGGTAAAAATGGATTGTGTTAGTTAATTCTCTTGTCGCTGTGACAAAACACTTAACAAAGACAACTTAAGGGAAGAAGAGTGTGTTTGGGCTTATGGGCAAGGAAGGTATCTGAGTTAACTTTTGTCCGGTTGACATGAGCTAGAGCCGTCTGGGATGAGGAAACCTCATCTGAGAGACCGCCACCATCAGATTGATGGCAAGCCTGTGAGCATTTTCTTGGTTGATGGTTGATGTGAGAGGACCCACCGTGGGCAGTGCCACCCTGGGCAGGTGGTCCTGGGCTGTATAAGAAAGGCGGGATGCAAAAGCCGTGGAGAGCAAGTGAGTAAGCAGCAGGCCTCCGCTCCTTCCCTGTCAGTTCCTGCCGCCAGCCTCTTGCCTCAACTTCCCTCCATGGTGGATTTAAACTGTGAGATGAAATAAACCCTTTCCTCTCCAAGCTGCCTTTGATCTGTGTTTTTATCACAGCACCAGAAGCCGAACTAGGACGGCATGGCAGCAAAGAGCATGAGGCAGGCATTCCATCTGCAGTCGGGAAGCAGAGAGAGAGAGGAAGGCTGCTGCCCAGCATTCCTTCTCCTTTGTATTGAGTCCAAGGCCTTGGCCCATTCATGTTAGCAGCCACATTCAGGGTGAATCTTCCTCTTTTGGTTAATCCTTTGTGGGAACACCCAGAGGTGGGTCTCCATGGTGACTCTAAACTTATGACATGATTAACAATCACAGGACTCACAGAATCTCCCTAAAGGGGACAGTCTGTGTCTGGGAGCTACAAAAATATCACCAGCATTCTCAGCTTCCTGACTTCCAAGGGAGATCAGAGAAGCCAAGACTGTTCTGCCTAGGACTATCTTTTCTGTGTATTCTCGTCTTTGGAATAACAGTTTCTGCATTGTCCTGTGTGTCTTTCTTAACTTTTGTGGGTTTGGGTGTTTTTGTTTAGCTGTTAAGCTCTGTGTGTGTGGGGGGGGGGGGGGTCTGTTTCCTATAAACTTTACAGAGTTTATGAGGCAGAGAGCCTGGTTGACATGACACTTTAACACTTCCGGTCTGCTGTCCACAGTCCGGAAGCCAATGTGGCCCGGGTAGATGGCACACCAGGATGTCATACTGACAAATTCCAGGCCACACTGAGGCCTCCGTGATAGAATGTACGCTGAGAACCATCAGTACGTGTCACTTCTTCCTTTCCCTGACTGATGGGGGAAACTGAGGCTTCTTCTTCACTGCATGCACTTCCCTGAGTGATCCTCACCTGTCTAACCAAGCTTCCCTCCTTATTTCTCAGTGGTAGGCCCAATAGTGCATATTCAGATATATTTTTAAAAGATTCATTTATTTTTATGTAATGTATGTGAGTGGTTTGCTTACGTGTATATAAATACATCAGATCTGTACGGTACCCACAGGGACCAGGAGAGGTCAATCCCCTGCAACTAGAGTTGATGACATTTGTGAACCACAGTGTAAATGCTGAGAATTGAACTTCAGTCCTCTGCAAGAGCAGCCAGTGCTTTTAAACACTGAGCCATCTCTCCCAACCCCCAAGTCTATAATTTTTTATTTCATTTTTGTTTGTTTGTTTGTTTGTTTGTTTGTTTGTTTGAGACTGGTTTTCTCTGTGTAGTCTGGCTGTCCTGGAACTTGCTTTGTAGACCAGGCTGACCTAAAACTCAGAGATCTATCTGCCTCTGCCTCCCAAGTGCTGGGATTAGAGGCATGTGCCACCACTGCTGGTCCCCAAGTATTTAAAGACAATACTTAAGTTCAATTCCTAGAAGCTAATGGCCTCTAGCTTTTATTTTACAAATGACTTCACTTTTTTCTAAATCACCTTCCCCTGAATTGTAAGCAGCAGGTGACTCTTTGAAGGTATATCACTGCACAAGGCTTCTCTGTGTATGCCCTTAAGATGAAAGAGTCTAGTTGCTGCCTGCACTTTCTTCATCGTACATAGCCATCTAGCAAACATTTCTCTGTTCAAACTGTGCAGCCCTGATGAGTGGCTAAAATAAGAGGTAAGAATGACTCCCCCTCCAGCTCTCCTCATGGGGCTGTTGAAGTGTGTGTGCCCACTCCTCTGCCGAAAACTAGCACAGCAGCTAATGGTGGGAGAGCCGCTCCCCAGGGAGACCTACAGGCATTCACGGCAGCCTACCAGGTCCTCGGCTGCAGTCCCGTGCCAGAGGGACGGTTGGATTCACCTGCCCTGTCACTCTCAAATCAATGGTGTTTTCCTCCAAGAATATGTGTTTCATCTGCAAAGCCATAAATCAATTGGAAGCAAATTCTACCGATGATTAAATAGCACTAACTGTTCATGCCTGACTGTGTGACCCTTGACACAAGCGAGGAAGGAGGTTGAGTTCCGACGCGCCCTGGTGAATGGGCACTGTTGCAGGCACTTGCACCATCTCAGGCATGAGGACATCACCGGGAACCAGCTATGCAAGGCTGAATACCACTCCCCCCATCCTTCTGATGACACAAGGAGAAACTCAGGCACGCACCACTGGGAAGCACCCTCTGAGCGATACCTTTGGGGGTGCATTTCAAACCAGCAGAGCGCGCATGAGGGACCAGTCCACCGCACAGGTACAAAATGAGGTAAGATGCAAAGGGTTTGCCTTTCTCTGCACAGTGCAGCATCTAGCTGGAATTTACTCATGGTTTTTCATGTGATTGATATTTTTGCTTTCGCATAGACCCTGTGTCTCCTTTGAAAAGAAGTTCCATCGGTTTCTGAAGCATGGGAAATTCTAAATTGCACCTGGCACAAGGAGCTCCAGAAAGGGAAGCCCACATGACCCTGAACCTTCTCTTTAAAACGAAACAAAACTTCCCAAACTTCATGATATGGTTATGAAATCAGTCGGGGACAGATCAGGCCCGTGACCGATTTCGTGGACACACTGAGCTCCAGAGAGAGTGCCTACGTAGGTGGGGGCGGCTCCTGCCCCTCAGTCCTTCCCAGCAGGCAGGTGACTGACTGGATCTGAGCACCCCGGCCGGAGCTCTCCACTAAGTTGAGGCAGCCAGCAGCCACCTGTAGCTCTCCTCTGCACCTGCCCTGCTATGGAAGCAGCTCCAGAAGCCTTGGCTGCTGTAGGCCGGTGGCGCCCCCTTGAGCCAGCAGCCCAGCACGACGGGGAGTGAAGCGAAGCTTTCTGCCATCAAAGGAATTTGGCAGGAAACCAATTACCTTGAGTCCCCACAATCCTCCATTCTTCCCGGTGACTGTGCTCCGATCTGTGCTGTTCTTTGCCCTCCCTTCTGTCCTTCCCGCACTCACATCCTCCCAGGGTTCCAGGGTGTTTGAGATTTCTTGTATGGCCTCTTAAGTGAGCATAGCATGGCTCTCCGTTCCCCATCAAGTACTGACTCGTGGGCAGGACTGCTTAGATAAATTCCACTTCCTGCCGCTGAAGGCTTGATGGGGTGAGGATTCCCTCAGGTGGTTGGCACGGCAAGTCAGCTGTCCAAAATCCACAGACAGTTTCTGTCTGTGTGTCTCTGTGCTCCTGAAACTGGCCGCTTCTCTCTGCTAGAGAGCCAGTGTCTCACTATGGCCCTCCTGAGGTAACATGTGGCTAGGCCCAAAGCCCGCAGGTGGGGGGTTGTATGTGGCTTCCAAGTGAAGCTCAAGACTCCTCAAGGTGA